TTGTTACTACTAGTAAGGCACTTGTTCCTAGTAGCGATGCACTTGTTCCTAGTAGCTTCTTGTTACTACTAGTAAGGCACTTGTTCCTAGTAGCGATGCACTTGTTACTAGTAGCTTCTTGTTACTACTAGTAAGGCACTTGTTCCTAGTAGCGATGCACTTGTTCCTAGTAGCTTCTTGTTACTACTAGTAAGGCACTTGTTCCTAAAGATGTTCTTGTTTCTTTTGGCGTCAAAAGACGCCACTCGCTTTTGGTTTTGCCCACTGTTGAGAGCCTTAACCCGCCTAGATGTCACTGATTCAGTTCATTTGGGCCGACTTGGAAGGATGCACTGGCTATGAATGCAAAGCTCACCCAGAAGCTCCAGAAGTACATCAAGAGGTCAGTCATACAGCTTTTAGTGCAAGTCACTCTATGAGCTGAAAGACCATACCCTTTGGCTTCATTCGAGTCTTCTAGCGGTTCATGGTTATCAAAGAGACCCTCCCCGGTATGCCAAGGGTACCTGCCATACGAATCCCCCGAACTGCCGCACCTTCCACCTATGAAAGACCAGACGAACATGGTAGTAGCGTCCTTGCTCCTAGTAGTAAGGCCCTTTGTTCCTAGTAGTTTCCTTGCTCTTAGTAGTAAGGCCAGGAGCCCCTAGTAGCGTCCTTGCTCCTAGTAGTAAGGCCATTTGTTCCTAGTAGTTTCCTTGCTCTTAGTAGTAGGGCCAGGAGCCCCTAGTAGGGTCCTTGCTCCTAGTAGTAAGGCCCTTTGTTCCTAGTAGCGTCCGGCCCGGAGGGAAGACTTCGTGCCCGAAAAGGCTTGGGCAGTTGGCACATTTGTCGCGTGCACCATCTCAGCAGAGTTTCAATAGCGATGGCCTCCAACCTAAATGCTTTGAGAATCAAAGAGAACGAGAGTATAGAAAGAGCATGTGCAAGAGCTACAGCAGAAAGGGCAGTTGAAAGCCTTCTAAATCCAGACCAAGTAAGGTATACAGGAGTGTTTGGCATCCCAGGCCTTAAAGAAGATATGTCTATGTGAATAGATAAGGAACCTTGCCACAGTGTCAGGGGGAAAGAATCCAGTGGCATATGCAGGTGAAGAGTGTCTCTGCAGCGGCAACATCACTGTGCATCTCAGATGAAAGAAGCAAGACACCGGCCTCTTCAAAGCTCTTCGTGTGCATTTGTTGTGGAGGCCATGGCTAGTAGGTTGAAGGCCATCGCTATTAGGTTGTAGGCCATCGCTATTGGGTTGTAGGGCATTGCTTGTAGGTTGCAGGCCATTGCTATTAGGTTGGTAGGCGCCTACTTAATTTCTGTAAGTAAGAAGGTAAGCTACTAGGGGCAAGGACGCTACTAGGGGCTCCTGGCCTTACTACTCCCCTAGTAGCTTCTTGTTCCTAGTAGCGTTCTTGTTCCTAGTAGTAAGGCCTGGAGCCCCTAGTAGCTTCTTGTTCCTAGTAGCGTTCTTGTTCCTAGTAGCGATGCCAGGAGCCCCTAGTAGCGTCCTTGTTCCTAGTAGCCTCCTTTGCTTCTAAATACACTTAATTCTAATTAAATTCTATAGCTTCTTATTGTTTCTACTAGCTTCTTGTTACTACTAGTAAGGCACTTGTTACTAGAAGCGATGCACTTGTTACTAGTAGTACTACACCTTTTTGGAGTTGACATCTCAAGGTCCAACGCTTAGCCTTCGTTTGCCACGAGGTATGTGGGTACGAGCTATGGATATCTACGGCCGGGTTTCACGTGAGATCGAGCCCAAGAAGGCATGGAATTCCGAGGGAGTTCGTTTCTGGTTCTTTTGGTAGGTCGCTACAAGAGGTAAGCTGTGGGATAAAACAGGTCCAAAGAAAAGGATCTGATCTATAAACTGTAAAAGAAAAACATAAACTAGAAACAACGAAGACACATGTCAAAAAAGAAACTTGTATCACAAAAAAGTCTAACAGAAGCAAACGAACAGATGTAGAAAAATATGCTACGTGAAAAAAAGAGGTCTAGCTAATAAAAGGCAAACATCCAAAAGACAACAACACTTCTAAAAGCGAAGAAAGAAGCTGAACAAACCAGAAAGACTATCAAAAAAGGGCACATATTAAAAAACACGTTTAAAGGTAAGAAGGAAAGAAAAGAAGGACGGAAAGACTAGTCCACTTTCAAGATGAAGTTACTGATTTAGCCTTTGGTGAGCGCTTTCTTTGTACGTAGTAGCGTCCTTGCTCCTAGTAGTAAGGCCAGGAGCCCCTAGTAGCTTCTTGTTCCTAGTAGCGATGCCAGGAGCCCCTAGTAGCCTATTTAATTACATCTGATTTTCAGCGATTTCTTTGTAGGCCAAGCTGAAAGTTGCGGAGGATTCCCTAGCTTCAGCAGAAGAGAAGCTTGCCATCAAGAAGGCGAAGCGTGAACCGCGGTCACCAGCGACACAACGATGTGCGCAACGGTGTGCAATTGAAATGATTTAAACCTTTTTGAATATAGATACCTATTTGGACATTTTGTTTACACTAGATTGTTTCCAATTTCTCGATTTAATTTCCAAGCTAGTAACAAGAAGCTACTAGGAGCAAAGGGCATCGCTACTAGGAGCAAGGACGCTACAAGGGGCTCCTGGCATCGCTACTAGTAGCATTCTTACTGCTAGGAACAAGGGCATCGCTACTAGTAACAAGTGCCTTACTAGTAGTAACAAGGTTCGCTACTAGTAACAGGTGCATTCCCGGTCTGTGCAGATCGAATTCCCGGTCTGCGAAGTGATTCCCGGAGCGAGCGGCCAGTTGAAGTGTCTCAGGTTTCAGAGTTTCTGTTGAACCTCCAACAGGGAAGCTTAGGAGCAAGAAGCTACTAGTAACAAGGGCATTACTAGTAGTAGCAAGAAGCTACTAGTAGCAAGGTGCCTTACTACTAGTAGCTTGTTGCTTGTAAGGCACCTCCGGAGCGCGCTCCGGCCATGCTGTGTCTCTCTGATACGCTGAGGGTGTTGTTATGCTGATGTGCTTTTGTGGTGTCACGCTGACATGCTAGCTTATTGTTTCTAATAGCTTCTTGTTACTACTAGTAAGGCAGTTGTTACTACTAGCGATGCACCTGTTACTACTGGCGTGCTGGCATGGGTCACGGTAACATGCCATGCAGATATGTCGTCATGCCCAGATGCTGCAGTCGGGTCATCGGACTCCAGCAGGTTCTGGGGCAGGTTTAGATAGGTTTAGTGGTTCTTGCTCGTGTTGCCGTGTTGGTTGGTATGCTCGTGCGGCACATTGAAAAGGTTCACACTTCTGAAGACAACATTGTTTGGTATAGGTGCAAGAAGCTACTAGGGGCTCCCGGCATCGCTACTAGGAGCAAGGACGCTACTAGGGGCTCCTGGCCTTACTACTAGGAGCAATGTTCGCTACTAGTAACAAGGGCATTACTAGTAGTAGCAAGAAGCTACTAGGAACAAGTGCCACGCTAGTAGTAACAGGTGCCTTACTAGTAGTAGCAAGAAGCTACTAGCAGCTTGTTTGGCAAAGGCACGAACTTGCGATGGTGCCATTGCCTTGTAGGTGGATGTTGATGCCCAGCTCTTTTTCTTTTTGCTTGGGTTCATATTTAAGATAAAGAGAACGCAAAATAACCAAGAAACCTTAATGAATACAAATGAACACCTGTCATATATCTAAGTACTAAGGCGGTGTAGGCCGTGACACCTGCGTGAGGTGGTAGCTTACAAGTTAGCCAACTAGGCCTAATAGCAAACTATATTGTATAGTGCCTTACTAGTAGTAACAAGAAGCTACTAGAAACAAGTGCATCGCTTCTAGTAACAAGTGCCTTACTAGTAGTAACAAGGTTCGCTATTAGAATTAAGCATTAATTAATCAGTGTTTCTACTAGCTAACATTGTTACTACTAGTAAGGCACTTGTTCCTAGTAGCGTGGCACTTGTTACTAGTATAGATCTTTATTTTTTTATTTTTTATTTGTTTCTAGTAGCGATGGCCTCCAACCTACTGGTTAACTTAGTCAGCTACCATTCTGCCTCTTTGCTCAGGCTTTTTTGGGAAACTCGCTACTAGTAGCGATGAACTTCTCACTGCAAATCGCTCCGATTTTGTCATTCTCACTCCTCCTTCGTAGTAACAAGAAGCTACTAGTAACAAGTGCCACGCTACTAGGAACAAGTGCCTTGCTAGTAGTACTCCTCCTTCAAGAAAATCAGGGGTTAAAGGAAAAAGGTGCTGAGGCATACCGCTCCGTGCAGCACAAGCTAGATGATTAGCTTACTAGCCTACTGGTAGGATACTGGTATGTACGTGTGCTCTTTGATTGTAAGTGCAGGCGGGTGCAAAAAAGAGATTCTGTCGATGCCCTTTGTTACTAGTAGAGATGCACTTGCTAGTAGTTTTTTGTTCCTAGTAAGGCACCTTGCTACTAGTGGCGTAAGGAAAGGACATACGCAGTGCAGGCAGAACTTAAGTTGGTCATGGACAACGTTGCTGCGCTCGAGGCTCTCAACTTGCTCTCAGTTTGATGAATGATAATGACACATCAAACGAACACAAGAAAAAAAGGAAGAAACATGAAGGTGTTTGGGCCTCCCGTTTGAAGGGTAGGAGCAATGTTCGCTACTAGGGGCTCCTGGCATCGCTACTAGGAGCAAGGACGCTACTAGGGGCTCCTGGCCGTACTACTAGGAGCAATGTTCGCTACTAGGAACAAGGACGCACCTAAGGTTTATTCATGCATCTTTTCTTGTTGTTTTGGGTGTTCTTCGACGCTGATAGGCCCAACTTGCTGCTGCTCAACGCAAGGCCTTATCCCATCGTTCGATAGTTCGATACAATTTTTTCGGGTCGAGAGAAGAGAAAGTGGGTAATTACAAGTGCCACGCTAGTAGCAACAGGTGCCTTACTAGTAGTAAAAAGAAGCTACTAGTAACAAGTGCCACGCTAGTAGTAACAAGTGCCTTACTAGTAGTAACAATGTTCGCTAGTAATTACAATTCTAATTAAATTTATTACAATTACTAGTAGTTGGTTTTTACCAAAAAACGTTTGGACACATAATCAAGGAACAATACTTGACGACGAGAGGCCGCCCAGTTGGAGGCAGATGCGCAGGACTGTGTGCTGGCCTGAGTGAGAATTTCTGCTGCCTTTGCAATATGAAGTTGAATAAACAATTCTTTCATGCTATTAAAAGATATTAAAAGTAGTGTGTCATTCCTTCAAACAGCCCAATAAGCAAAATGAAGAAAACGTAAAAAAGACAGGTCTAAAGGTCCAAAGACAAAGGGAAATGGAAGCTTGCGACAGGAAGGAAAGAAAGAAAGGTCGTACTTCATCGCTTGTTTGTTCCTAGCAGCCTTCTTGTTACTAGTAGCAAATTAGCTACTAATAGCGATGCCACTGTTACTAGTAGCTTCTTGCTCCTATATAGTAGTGATGCCCTTTGCTTCTAGTAGCGATAATGCTGAGGTGGTGAAGTTGGACCGCGCCGAAAAGCTCTTGGCGGGTTTGGGCAACGAAAGCGTGCGTTGGAATGTGCCTCGACAAAAACGGGTGACGTCGAAGAACACGAACAAACAAGCACTAGGAACAAGTGCATCGCTACTAGCAACAAGTGCCTTACTAGTAGTAACAAGAAGCTACTAGGAACAAGTGCATCGCTTCTAGTAACACAAACAAGCACGAGTGCTCAAAGAAGGAAGAAGACGTTCCTTCTCCGTCTTTCACTTAGGCTGCGAGCGAGGTTTTGGAGAAGGACTTAAAGTTTGTCATTGGAAACATCGTCCTTGCAGGCGGAGTGAGTAATTACAAGTGCCACGCTAGTAGTAACAAGTGCCTTACTAGTAGTAACAATGTTCGCTAGTAATTACAATTCTAATTAAATTCTTAAGGCACTTGTTCCTAGTAGCGTGGATAAAGTCGAGTTCCGCAACTGCGCAGGATTCCGCAACTAGGATTCCGCAACTGTTTGGTCGGATTCCGCAACTGGGATTCCGCAACTGGGATTCCGAAACTAGGATTCCGCAACTAGGATTCCGCAACTAGAATTCCGCAACTAGGATTCCGCAACTAGGATTCCGAAACTAGGATTCCGCAACTGTCAAGATTCTGCAACTAGGATTCCGCAACTAGGATTCTGCAACTGGGATTCCGCAACTGGCGTTCCGCAACTAGGATTCCGCAACATTGTGGACTCCCTCACTAGGATTCCGCAACTTTGTGAATGATGAGGGACACGATGGGGACAAGGGGGGGTTGGGAGGTGGGGGGGGTTGGGTGGGGGGCTAATGACGTTGGTTTGGATGTGCTTCGAAGGTGATGTCACAGGCACACACGCTATCGCATGATGTGGAGATCACCAGTTGCAAGTTTCAGAAGGCAAGTTGCAGAATCTGACTTTCCAGTTTCAGAATACCAGTTGCAGAATCTGACTTTCCAGTTTCAGAATACCGGTTGCAGAATCTGACTTT